AGTAGTCCATTTTGACTGGAGTTTGGGTACATGAAAAGAAATCATGGGAGAAAATGTAGAAAGGGACATTGTGACTGAATGGTCAGCGAGCCCTAGGTGACACATTAAGGGGTTTGGATGTAGTAGGCAATGGACAGCAAGCTGAGAGTTGTGCTTTTACTTTGGCATTGGTGAATAGGACAGACTGAATAGAAAACTGGAAGTCAGGTCAGCCACTTGCAAAGCGACCAGGTTCCAAACTAAAGTAGATGGCTATAGAAGGCAAAAGAAAAGGAGTTAACAGTGATTGAGATCTTGAGGCTGAGTGAGGTGACTGGGGGAAAAGCAGCTGATACCATTAACAGAAGCAGACTGACCATTCTGTCCTGATTCTGCACAGGTTAGGATTCATTCTTTCATTCACCAAATATTTATTAATCACATGCTTTGTGCAGAGCCAGTGTGCTAGGCCTTTCCTATGTTCAGTCATAAGATACAAATCCTTGTAACTCCAAAAACACAGTATTACATCGTAAGTACATTCAAGAAGTACAGAAGAAAGTACTATTTGAGGTCCAAAGTAGAAGGCTTTTGGGAAAGGCTTTAGGGAAGAAATGGCATTTGATTTAGGCTTTAAAAATGAGTGGCGACGTAGCAGGTCTAGAGGAGGGGCAACATTTCAGGCATAGGGAACGATATGAGCAGGGCCATGAGCACAAAGAAGTTTTGTTTGGCTGGAGCATTTGGGAAAGGTAGTATGAGATAAGGCTGCATAGGTAAAGTAGTGTCAGATTCTGAAAGGCTTTGACCGCCAGGCAAAGGAACTTGAATTTTAGTTGGTAGGCAATAGCCCCTGAAGATTTTTTAACAAAGAAGTAGCTTGACCAAATCTGTGCAGAAGGAAGATTAGGCAGGCAGAGATATGAAGAATGGATGGGAGGAGGAAAGAGAATGAAGTTGGGAGGACCCAGCAGAAGGTTATTGCCATAGTCCAGGTAATGAGAGCTTGTACTCGAGTTGGTAGCAACAGGAATAGAGAGGAAAGGACCGATCAGAGAGATATTACAGAAATGCCTTTAACAGGGATTAGTAATGGATTTGAAATGAGAAGTGACGTAGTAAAGAGATTCAAAGATAATGCTTAGGCTTTATATAGGAGAAATAAGATCATTGGGTGCAGGCTAGATTACCTCAACCCACTAGGCAAAAATGAATATCAAAATGAACTTTTAAGTGGAAATATCATGAAAGAGTATTTGAGGGTTGTATGTGAAAGCAGGACAGTGTTTTTTTATTTGTTTTATTGAGGGTTAGAAGTTTATAAGCTAATTCTATGTGTAAGACCCTTAGTCTTTGTTAGCACAAGCTTGTACAATCATTTCCTTTTCCATCATTTCCTTTCCTGAACCACTCCCGCCTGCCAGAAAAAGTAGGATAGGAGTGAAAAATTGTAAAGCAGCACGAGTCGAAGTGATTCCAAGTACCTCAGAGCAACGTTGGCACAAGAACTGGGTGATATGTAACCTGAATCCCTTCGTAGCTTCCTTGTATGAGGAGACACATTTATTCCTTCTCTTTGTAGGAACAACAAAAGCACTATTTGTGTTCAGGTTAATCAGAATAACTGCCCAGCTACCACTATGGAAACCTCAGCTGCAGCTGGCAAGCCAGTACAGATCACAGTGATGGATGGATATGACTTGGTAAAGTTACTTTTGACAATTTCATGTTTCTCATTTGAGCGACTCATACATTCGCATGGCTGATAAATTCTGTCAGAAGACAGAACTACTGGAACCTTAAGCTTAAGCTCTTATCCTCCCTGCCAGCTACTTTCACTTGTAGAACTTTCAGATCAGGGTCACTAGGATAGCAAAAGGAAGCAAGTTCATGCCATGTGAATGAATGAAAAAGCATTAAGTAAGGCATACCTTGGAGATATTGTGGGTTCAGTCCCGACCACTGCAATAAAGCAAATATCACAATAAAGTGAGTCATGAATTTTTTGGTTTCCCGGTGTATATAAAAGCTATGCAAATGTACAATAGTATTTTATCTTTTATTTGTACATACCTTGATTTAAAATATTTTATTGCTAAAAAAAAATGCTAACCATCATTTGACTCTTCAGCAAGTCATAACTTTTTTGCTGGAGGGTCTTGCCTTGATGTTGATGGCTGCCAACTGATCAGGATGGCAGTTGCTGAGGGTTGAGGTGGCCTCAGCAGAGATTGCCATTTCCTGTCACTTGAACACTTAAGAGGCCATTGCAGAGTTATTAATTGGCCTAATTTCAATATTGTTAGTCTCAGGGAATAGAGAAAATCATGGAGAGGGAGAGAGAGAGATGAATGGCCACCTGGTGAAGCAGTCAGAACACACACACACACACACACACACACGCACACTCACACACAACACTTATTAAGTTTGCTCTTTTTTATAGGTGGGGTTCATGGCTCCCCAAACAATTAAAATAGTAGATAGTAGATCTGATCATAGTAGATCATTGATCATAGATCACCATAATAAACATAATAATAATAATGAAAAAGTTTGAAATATTACAAGAATTACCAAAATGGGACAGAGACACAATGTAAACATATGCTGTTGAAAAAAATGGCCGATTGCCACAAATCTTCAATTTGTAAAAAGCGCAATATCTGCAAAGTGCAATAAAAGGACGTATGGCTGTACATACTTAAAATGGGAAAAGCCCTGTGTTTTGAGGATTTATTCAGTGAAAGAAAAGAGAACAAGCATTTATTAAGTACCTACTATGTGCCAGGCACTGTGAGAGCTTTATGATTATTATCTCATTTGATCCTCACAATAGCTCTGGGAGGTGAGTGCTATTATTATCTTCATTTTACAGTTGAGGAAACCGAGACAAAGGATAAGAGACTTGCCCAGAGTCATACAACTATTGGGTGCTTGAGTCTGGATTTGAACTTAGGTCTTCCTGATTCTGGACCTAGTGCTCTATCCATTGTACAATTAGCCACCTTTCACTAGTGAAAGTGATAGTTCTCCTCAGGTATTTGAAAAGTTGTCTTGTGGGAGATGAACAGACTTGTTCTGCTTAGCTCCGGCCAGCAGAAACAGGGGCAGTGGCTGGAACTTGCAAAGAAGCAAATTTAGGCTAGAGGTGAAGAAAAACTGCCTGCCGACTAGCACCGTCCCTGAGTGGAATAGGCTGTCTCAAGAAGGAGTGCGTTCCCCGTCTAGCCCAGGCTCAATGGCCATTTGTCAAGGATGTTGAGGGTGGTTATTCTTTTTCAGGAATGGGGTAGACTAAATGGGCATTGGAGTCCTTTCCAGCCCTAAAGTTCTGTGGTTCTCTTATTCCTATGTCTCCGTGTTCTGTGCCTTCGCTGCTTGATCTGTTGAGGAAACGGGATGTTCAGCCCAGAGATAAGAAAATGAGTGGGAAAGTCAGAGCTGTCTTCAAGCGTCTGGAGGATTGTCACGTGGCAAGGGCATAGACTTGTTTTAGTGGATCTCAGAGAACATAATGGGTGGAGGAGGCCAATTTAAGCTTCTCATAAAGAATCAACTTCTAACAGTGAGAGCTCTCCCAAAGTGGGAGGTGCTGCCTTGGGAGGGACGGGAGGATTCCCCTTTGCTGGAGAGACCACCACTTGTCAGGAGTGTTGTAGAGGATGGCCTCCCTTCTCGGAGTCTGCCAGCACATACTGAACACAGTGCTTGACTCGTAGGAAGCACTCAGAAAATGCTCTTCTCCACTCCATTCATTTCCACTGGTAAAATTAGGGTGTTGCAGTAGATGACCTCTAATGTCCCTGTACCTCTAAAATTTATAATCCTATCAAATGAGAGAAAGGGAGTTCTAGTTCCTATGGATAATTGTTTATATTACCTAATTATTCTCCTAAAAAGGGGTATCATTTCTTCATCTGTCCCCTTGTGTTTGCTTATCTGTAATGATTCCAAAGCTTACAGAGCGTTGGATTTTCAGTCAGAGGGACTGGGTTCAAATCCTAGCTATACTATTTACTACATAGATGACCTTGGTCAAGTCATTTTACCTCTGAGGCCTCAGTTTTTTCATCTCTAACTGAGGGTACTAAACCCTTAGATTAGCACTAATATTCCTTTCACCTTTCCTCTGTGATCCTTTGAACTAGAGCATGAGGAAATAAAAGTGCCACAATCATATGTTTTTCTTATGCAAATAGTTTGTGCTTACTGTGTCCATATGAATGCTGAGCACACATATTCATGTGGAGCTAGCAGAAAAAGAGAAGATGAGGCAGTGAATTGCCAAGTGCTTTCAAGAACTAGGTGTTATTTGAGTATATTTGTAAATAACAAGTTTATGTTTCTCTCCAATAGAAAGGTACTAAAGGGGATACTCCAGTCACCTTTGTTCGTGCAGAATTTAATAATGTGGCTTTGGGAGACTCTTCAAAAGTTACCGTTTCTTCTGAAGGGACAGCGAAATACAACTTTACCAGCAGTTTTGACTTCACTTCTGAAGGAACCAATACTTTAGATGACCTTGCCCACAAGCCTGTGTTCTGTAAGTCTTTATGGTTCTAAATATTTTCCTTATGTCTAACTATAAAGCCAGTTTGGCCCATATATAACAGTAATAATATTTTATTTCGGCTCTGGCCCATGCCAGAGCCTGATCACAAGGCCCACCAATTGTGTGTTGATATTACACTTGTTGATCGTGACTGTTACTTTTGACTGTGATGGGGATCTGAAGGTAGACGTGACTGGGAAAGCCAGACATCCCACCCTGTTGATCTATGCACATTTGAACTCTGTTTCTGTCAGAAGTTGGAGTGTCCCACTGATTACTAATCTCATCTGATTGATTTTTGTAGCACTCAAGTACAGAACTTCACATCTGTGCACGTACCCCCTTGCTCCACCCAATATTATCCATTGTTTCTTTACCATTATAATAAGCCAAAGCCTGTGTTTTTTTTTTCCTTCCCACTAAAATAACTACTAGCTTCTGGACTTATCGCCCCAAACTCAAGATATGGTTTTCCCTCCATTGCTTCCTACAATCCAGTCTAGTCTCAGAATCAGAACACAGACTCTCAGAAAATACCAGGGACCGAAGAGATGGATGGGATGCCAGAGCTTAACTAGGCCAACCTCTCCAGTTGAACAAGACTTTCATTAGCATACTCGCCAAGTGGTCATAGAGCGCTTGCTGGAAGACCTCCAGTGAGGTGAAATGCCCCGCCTTCCAGGATGGTTCATTCCACTTTTGGAATTGTGAGAAGGTTTTCCTTACCTTAATCCTAAATTTGCTTCTTTATGACTTGCACCCTGTGTTGCCAGAGACTGACTGTTGATAGCTTTATTACTGAGCTATTTTCTACTACCCAGCTTTTGATGTAACCATAAGTCCTCTAAATTTTTACTTCTGGATCATTTCAGATCTTTTATACACTTGGTTTATAATCGAACTACTGGACTGAGCCTACCCCCTACCTCCATCCTGGGGGATGGCCAAAATCATTGGATGTTTTCAAATACAGCTCCCACAAATATACCCTTGCATATGCTCTATCAAGTCTGTATACCCTTTTCAATAAAAACGAGGGTCAAATGAAAGTTTAAAAATTTCAAAAGCAAGACTAACGGCAAATTTGCTCCAACTGATAGTGAATTCAGTGCACCTACTGTTGAGTCAGCCCATGTGGAATCTTTGCCACCCCCACCGTCAATCAGTACAGGCACCTGATATAGGCGGGCAGTGCTCTCCTGCTCTGTGCTGCCTTTGACCATGAAATCTGTAAACTCAAAGTTTAACAATACTTGTGTGAAAGTTGGAAGTACTCTATTATCTGTTACATTTCTCAACATAATCATTTTGTTATGTACAATATACTTTTCTGACTCCCCCTCCCAAAAAACCAAACAAACAAACCTGTGTCTTTGAAAAAATTTAAACAAAACTCAGGAGTGGTATAGCTTGTTTTGTGAGAAGTGTGGGAGGAATATGACAATTTGTTTTCATAAAAAGTGGCAGAACATCACTGCATAAAGTTTGGAAATCTCTACTCTGAGAAGGTTGCTCTAGTGAAAGGTGAATAGTAGATAATTCCTGGAGAGGCCTCATGTTTTCCAGCAGTAGCAAATGGTCAGTGATGCTGGGCTCCCTAATTCATTTCTAAGACAGCTCTCCTTTGTCTTAGACACTTCTGGTAATTTTCTTACTGCCCTGTTGTTGCTTAATGGTGGACCTGGAACTTTTTCATATTTGGTGTTTTTCTGTCCTAGTGACTGTGTTTGAAGTTTTACCAAAGGAAAAGAAACAGAAAGAGGAGAAGACTGTAATTCTGGGTCAAGCTGTTGTGGACCTTCTTCCTTTGCTAGAAGGTCAAGTATAAAACTTACCAAAGCCATGTATAATAAAGTACCTTCATTTTAAATCCATGGAAAAGCAAAATTCAAATATGATACTTTTCTGCCTATAAATATGTTAACTTTGTACTTCCTTTTCTGGGTTTAATCAATCTTCTTTTCCTTCACAGGAGAATGCACATTTGAAATAATGACTCCATTACATCCTATTATTGGCTCACCCTTGGAGAATCTTCGACCAGGAGCTAAAGTAAGTGGGTATTTTAAAAAATAATATTTTATTTTTTCCCAATTACATGTAAAAACATTTTTTAATATTCATTTTAAAAAATTTAAGTTTTAAATTCTTTCCCGCCTTTCCTCCCCTCCCTTCCAAAATGGTAAGCAACTTGGTTTAAGTTATACATGTGCAATCATGCAAAACATATTTCCCTATTAGTCACATGAAAGAAGACACAGACCAAAACAAAACAAAACAAAAACAAACCACAACAAAAGAAAGTAAAAGTAGCATCCTTTGACCTGCATTCTGACTCCATTGGTTCTTCCTCTGGAGGTAGATAGCATTTTTTATCATGAGTCCTTTGAAATTGTTTTGAATCATTGTATTGCTGAGAATAGCTAAGCCATTCAAAGTTGATTATTGTACAATATTGCTGTTACAATATACAGTGTTTTCCTGGTTCTTCTCAATTCACTTTGCATCAGTTTGTGTAAGCCTAAGTTTTTCCGAAATCTTCCTGCTCATTGTTTCTTATAGCACAATAGTAGTAAGTGGGGTTTTCATACTTTTAAGTTTACTGTGTAATATTGTATAGCAGTTTGTTTCAATCTTATTTACTAGTTTTTTTAAATGCAATTTTATTTTGTTTTACAAGAATCTAATATGAACTGAATTCTTGAAAATATTGTAGTATGAACCATTTTCCAATTGTCTTCCATTATAATGTCAGCGTGGTGGTATAAGACATTCCAGAAAGTTTTTAGGATCTTGCCACGAAGGGGTGGGGTGTGGTAAAAGCAATATCTGCTTCATGTAGGTTAGGCTAGTTTCTTGTTAATGGGAAGGGAAATCATCCTCTTTGTGCATTGGTTGGTTGAGGAGCTTGGGTCTAGAGTTGTTGCCTGGAGAGTCAGTTCAGCTCGGTGGAGCTGGAGCTCTCCCACTCTGACGGGACCCTCACTGACAGGCACCCCAACCTAGCCCTCAGCCCATGTTCTACCTCCTGACCAATGAGGAGAAAGACAGGCGTTGCACCTGTCCAAACCAGTGCTGGATCATGATTGAATCTCCTTTCTATTGTTAAGTAAACTTCTTTTTATTAGATGTTCTGTGGTCTGTGAGTATTTCATTACACTTCAGTCCTGACCCTAAGATCACACTGAGCTGAGTTAGGCTTGGCCTGGAACAGGAGGCAGTGCCACACTCTACCGCGTCTCCCCTGTTTTCTCTGAGCACTTACCAAGAGCTCCTCAATGAGTTCCCAGACCTATAGTTTCTCTCTCCTTTAATCTTTCCTCTCATTTTTTGGTTGCAAGAAGGTGGGGGAGGGAAAGAAGACAGGTCAATCTATCACAGCAATTTTATTGCACCTTGCTATTCAAAAATCTGTTTACGGGGTTTTGTTTTGTTTTTTGCTGTTACCATTTTATAGTTACCCTACTTTGTTTTTAATAAATTATATTAATGGCCATTAAAACATAAATGATCAAAGATTTATGAATGAGAATAGTTATGAATGTGGAGAGATGCCGTGTGTCAAGCTTTTATCTTATTCTGGTTCCCCTGACCACCGTGGTCCCCTTCTAGTCTGTATAGTAAGCAAGTTTATAAATAGCCAGTATAAAATAACAATAGCAGGAAATAAGATTGCAAAGGAGAAACTAGAAGTTACCTACAGACCACCCCAAAGATCAAGGAAATATAATCTGTGAACTGTATCATATATTAACATAAAAATCACATCCTGGTAATATGTGCTGAGTCAGGGGAAGGCCTCTGGGCCTTCCTGCCATAGCGTTTTGGTCCTGTGATATGTAAATCTCAGACAAGTTCCAGACCAGCAGAACACCAAATGTCATCAGCACTCTGAGATGATGTGGACCTGTTCACTTGAAAGTTTTACTAATGACTTTGAGATGACATAGATATGTTACTGAACTAATTCCCAGGTGACACAAATAAGACTTAGTCTGTTTCCCACCTAAACTCTATAAAAATGAGACCCGGGGCACAGCCAAGACGGCAGAGTAAAAGCAGTGCCTTGCTTGAGCTCTCCCCCAAACCTCTCTAAAAACGAGACCCCAAAGCTCCTGCCCCCTGAATACTCCTCTGTCTCCATTAGGTCCACATTGCTAAGAGCTCCTAACTCTAATCCGTGGTTATGTGAGTGCCTCTCTGCCTCTCCTTCTGTCCGTTCTCTTCGCCATCACTGCCTGCTTCCCTCCACTGCCCTATCCACATCCCCATGCCTTCTGCTATTGTATCCCCTGCTCTTTCATCACTTACTCTGTACTCTCTGCGCTGTTTGCCCCTGCACAGTTTGGGCGTTATTAGTGTGATTGAAGCCTCGCTCCCCACTGCCACTGTGGTCTTTCCTGGTGAGTACCCAAAGTACACTCGGTGGTAGTACACCTGCCTCCATTTCATAATGACATAAATTAATTAACAGTTCATTTTAAAATGTGTAAAGGGATTTGGAGAATAGAGATAAGAGGCTTTCCCTTTTTTGGGTGATTTTTAGCATGTCTAGTGTCATATGTCTGTTTCTATATAGTCAAATTTTTAATCTGATGATTTAATCTGTTTACATGATCTTTGGTCATTTATTCAAAAGCCATTTATTAAGCATCTGCTGTATTCAAAACACTGTGCTAGGTTTTGGGATGATGCAGAGACCCTTTAAACTCGGTTCTTGTCTTGATGGAACTTGCAGTCTAAATGGATAGAGTGTTGGGGAATTCTCTTAACTGAGAGAAATGGGACCTCATGGTAACTGTGTAACCATAAGCAGAGGTTCAGTGATGCAGATCAAAGAGAAGCAAAGAAATGTGTTGGTATGCTAAGGAAGATAGGCCTTGCTAAGAGCAGCTTCCTAGCATACAGATTGAGTTTCTGTATAACTTCTTAGACCCATATAGAGTACACAGCCAATCAGCATTCTGTGGCAACTTAGGATAAATCAATAAAGCATTTCATAAGAGAGGGAGGGGTAGAGAAAGGGAGAATCAGCAAAAAAGAAAAAGGAGGATTCCTGGGGGAATATTTGTCCTGCAGCTGTTACTTTGTTTTCTGAATGAGAAATTATTCCTTGTTCAAGGGCAGTTAGAAAAAAAGAAGTGACCAAATACTTTTTATTTTAAGGAAGTCATTTTAAATAAAGTGGAAGGGTTGTGGTAATTTTTTAGACAAGGCAGTAATTGTCTTTTATCCAAGCGCGACAAATAGGTGTATTACAACAGTGGAGAAGACCATTTGTTTTATTGTGCATTTGCATAGTTTGTTATATTTTATTTTTCCTTCAGTAGTGATTGGGGACTTTATACTATTAGGCCATTTCAGGGTTGGGAGAGTTAGTCCCTTGCAATGTTGCAAAATGATTATGTGTTATATTACAGTGTAATATATGTGATTTCCTTAGGTTTGCAGGTTTAACACACATATTAAAACATGCCATCCACGTTCCTTTCATTTTATTGGACGTCTTGTTGATTGTATAGATATTTAGTATTTAAGCAGCAATGCTGATTATACCAAAGATAATCTAAATCGTCAGAGAAGTGTAGTAACTCAGCTCCATCCTTCTGATAGAACTGCCCAATGGAGGTTTTTCCTACCTATCCTTAGAGTATGGTTTGTGTCCTGCAAATCTGAAATGGAAAAATCTTGTTAAATTTGATTCCTGGATAGATACTCTCTAGAATATCTGCATTTATCACTGAATGAATCATTTTCTATTTTTAAAGCTGTTTGTTTTCAGCATATTAGTTTGGTAGCTAACTTTTAAAAAAAATAGCTGCAAAGTAACAAATCAACATGGTCTAGAGGAAAGATCAAGGCACTAGAGGGCAAAGTGAGTTTTTGTCCTGTCTCTGCTGCTAACCTGCTTTGTGACTATGTGCTTCATTGTCCTCAAAGTAAAATGTAAATCTCTATCTTCCTCTCTCATAAGGTAGTTGTGAGAGTCCAGTGAGATAATGACTGTGAAAACACTTTGATTGGAAACTCTGCAAATCCAAAGCATCATTGTGATTCTTTCTATTTTGCCTTCTTTTCCTGCAGTGTTGTCTGGAGGTAACGGTATCCGTCTCAGAGGCATTACTGACTACAGCCCAGATCTTGGGGGGGAACCTGGTAAAGGTAACTTTAGAGGCTGCCTACTCTGTGCCAGAGATTTTTGGGACTACAGGACCTCCGCAGAATTACATGGTTGGGTTGCAACTTCCAACAATTGGAGAGGTAAGGACATAGTGCTATGTTTCTGTAGATACGAACGTCTTCATTTGTATTGTGTTTCTGTGCATAGCTATTTTTTAAATTAATTAATTTATTTTTCGTTTTCAGCATTCACTTCCTCAAGATTTTGAGTTCCAAATTTCCTCCCCATCTCATCCTTCGTTTCTATCTCCCCTCCCTTCTCTTATCCCCTTCCCATTCTTTTTCCTGTAGGGCAGGGTAGATTTCCATACCCCATTGCTGTATATCTTATTTCCCAGTTGCATGTGAAAACAATTTTTTTTAACTTTAATTTTTAAAATTTTGGGTTTCAAATTTTCTCCCTTCCTCCCTCCCCACCCACCCTCATTGAGAAGGCAGGCAACTCGATACAAGTTATACATGTGTAGTAATGCAGCACACTTCCATAGTAGTCATGTTGTGAAAAACTAATTCTATTTCCCTTCATCCTATCCCGCCCCCCATTTATTCTATTCTCTGTTTTGACCCTGTCCCTCTTTAGAAGTTTTCCTTCTGATTACCCCCTTCCCCAATCTACCCTCCCCTCTATCATCCTCCTGCTCTCTTGTCTCCTTCCTCCCCTGTTTTCTGTAGGGTAAGATAGATTTCCATACCCAATTGAGTGTGTATGTTATTCTCCCCTTAAGCCAAATCCAATGAGAATAAGATTCATTCATTCCCTCTCACCTTTCCGCCTATTTTTCCTCCACTGTAAAAGCCTTTTCTTGTCTGTTTTATATAAGATAATTTACCCTATTCTACCTCTCCCTTTCTCCTTCTCCCAGTATAATCCTCTCTCACTCCTTAATTGTATTCTCCAGATATCACCCCTTCATCTTCAACTCACCCTGTGCCCTCTATTTGTCTATCTATCTTTTTATATATATGTATATATATATGTATATATATACACATACATATATATATAATTTTTTCCCTCCAACTACTCTAATACTGACAAAGGACTCATGAGTTACAAATATCATCTTTCCATGCAGAATGTAAACAGTTCAACCTTAATAAGTCTCTTATGATTTCTCTTTCCTGTTTACCTCTTCATGTTTCTCTTGAGTCTTGTATCTGAAAGTCAAATTTTCTGTTCAGCTTTGGTCTTTTCATCAAGAATGCTTCAAAGTCCTCTATTTCACTGAATGTCCATTTTTCCCCCTGAAGGATTATGCTCAGTTTTGCTGGGTAGTTGATTCTTGGTTGTAATCCTGCCCTCCGGAATATTACATTCCAAGCCCTGTGGTCCCTTAATGTAGAAGCTGCTAAATCTTGTGTTATCCTGATTGTGTTTCCACAATACTTGAATTGTTTCTTTCTGGTTGCTTGCAATATTTTCTCCTTGACCTGGGAACTCTGGAATTTGGCGACAATATTCCTAGGAGTTTTCCTTTGGGGATCCCTTTCAGGAGGTGATCAGTGGATTCTTTCCATTTCTATTTTAATCTCTGGTTCTAGAATATCAGGGCAGTTTTCCTTGATAAGTTCTTGAAAGATGATGTCTAGGCTCTTTTTTTGATCATGGCTTTCAGATAGTCCAATAATTTTTAAATTATCTCTCCTGGATCTATTTTCCAGGTCAGTTGTTTTTCCAATGAGATATTTCACATTGTTTTCTATTTTTTCATTCTTTTGAATTTGTTTTACAGTGTCTTGATTTCTCATAAAGTCACTAGCTTCCAATTGCTTCATTCTAATTTTTAAGGAACTATTTTCTTCAATAACCTTTTGGACTTCCTTTTCCATTTGGCCAAATTTGCTTTTTTTGTTTGTTTGGTTTTTGGTTTTTTGGTTTTTTGGTTTTTTGTTCTAGGCAATAGGGTTAAGTGACCTGCCCAGGGTCACACAGCTAGTAAGTATTATGTGTCTGAGGCTGGATTTGAACTTGGGTCTTCCTGACTCCAGGGCTGGTGCTGTATTCACTGTGCCACCTATCTGCCCCCCAGTTTTGCTTTTTAAGGCATTCTTCTCCTCCTTGACTTTTTGGATCTCTTTTGCCATTTGGATTAGGCTATTTTTTAAGGTGTTATTTTCTTCAGTATATTTTGGGTCTCCTTTAGCAAGCTGTTGACTTGTTTTTCATGATTTTCCTACATCACTCTCATTTCTCTTCCCAGTTTTTCCTCTACTTCTCTTACTTGCTTCTCAAAATCCTTTTTGAGCTCTTCCAAGGCCTGGGACTGATTCATATTTTTCTTGGAGGCTTTGGATGTAGGAGCTTTGACTTTGTTTTCTTCTTCTGGTTGTGTTTTGATCTTCTTTGTCACCAAAGAAAGATTCTATGGTCTGACTTTTTTTGTGCAATTTGCTCATGTTCTTAGTCAATTACTTGAGTTATAAACTCTTTGTTAAGGTAGGGGTCTGCTTCCAGTGTGGAGAATGTACTGTCCCAAGCTTCGGGGGTTTTGTGCAGTTGTTTTCAGAGACAGTTCTAGGGACCTGTAAATTTTGAGTTCTTCCAAGGAGGTATGATCAAGGGCGAGGTGTTTACTCCTTTCCTGGCCTGTGCTCTGGTCTTTGAGTGACCACAAGCACTCTTTTCTGTCTTGGAATTGTGAGGAGGATTCTGTCTCCACTGCCACTACAAGCTCCATCAGGCCAGTGCTCCTCCTTGCCCCAGGACCACCACCCAGAGCTGTGACTCAGATGCAAGCACAGGCATAGCAAGAGATTTCTGCCTCAGCACCAGCAAAGAGATCCCTGTAATCACTCTCTGATCAGCCACTCGATTCCCTCTCTGTCTGTGGGCCAAGAGCTCTGGAAGCAGCCACCCCAGGGCTGCATCGGGACTGGGGCTGGGACTGAACTTCTCTCTCAGCTCAGTCACAGACCTTTCCTACTGACCTTCTAAGTTGTCTTTGGTGTTTGTGAATTGAGAAGTCTGGAAATGGCTACAGGTGCCTGTGATTCAGTTCACTGAGGCCTGGTCTTTGCCTGCACACCCATGCTGAACTACACTCCTCTCCCAGCCTGGAGCAACAGATCTTTCCAATCAACCATCCAGCTTGTCTTGGGCTGGAAATTTGTTTCACTCTTGTCTTTTTGTGGGTTCTGCTACTCTAGAATTTGTTTAGAGCCATTTTTTTATAGGTATTTGGAGGGGTTTGGGGGAGAGCTCAAGCAAGTCACTGCTTTTACTCTGCCATTTTGGCTTTGCCCTCTCTGCATAATTATTACTTATAAGCCCAGGAGGAAATGCTTTCTTCTAATAAAGGGCCTTGGCTGTAGGTTTAAGTACACTAGGCTTGTGACCTGGGGAAGCCTGACCCTACAGAGTGGGATCAAGCTCCTCTTCAGTTCTCTGGATGGTTATTTCCCGCATCCCTGGGAAAATCTCTTAAAGCTTAAGCTTGGCTCATGTCTAGGTTAGAAAGGTTCATGCACAAAGTTTATCTGGTAGAGGAAAGTGTGAATTTCCTTCACCATAAAAGACATATTCACTCATCCGCCACACTTGAAACATGAAACGTAACTCCTCACTTTATCATACTCTCTTTAGAAGGCAGTACATAAGATATGAAAACATGAAATGCATTGTGGGTCTGTTGCCAGGCATTTTATTTTCCCTTCAGGTTTGCATTGTCAGAGCCTCTCACTGAAGCCTCTCACTATCTTTTGGTCCCTCTGGCCATCCAGGGCATGGCTTAAGCTCCTCCTTTTGGTAGTGGACATCGTCTTTTCTTAGAAGGTGATGCAGAAATCATCTTTTACTGGGCCATCCAGAACCAGATCTCTCAAACTCATTAGGTGACTACCAAGACGGAGAGACCCATTTTGGGAAGACTAAACACCTGTAATCAGAGAAAGAAACACAGAGCAGAAGAGTCTGACAGGGCTTGATGGTCAGTCTCAGGCTCTTCTATACAATCACATGTACATGTTGTTGTGTGCTCCCTGATACCATCACTGCCAGAGGGGAGGGGACAGAAGAAGAGAGGCAGGAAGTTTGAGGGAGAGCTCAGAGAGTCCCAACATACTTCGTAGATGGAAAGGCAAAGAGGGCAAGACTTTTTTGGAAGTTTGCTGTGCATGTCAAAAGAAAATTTGTCATTAAAAAAAAGTAAAAGGAGGGATTTCTGGTAACAAGATGGCAGAGTGAGGAAGGAACTCTCTGAAGGCCTCCCAAATTCCTTTCCGAACAATAAGAAAACTGCCTCAGAATTGATCTAGGAGCAGGGAAGCAGCTTACCAGCCTGGTAGGTGTCTCACTAGGGTGGGAGGGGAATGAGGTAAGACCCAGAGCCCCAGCACAAAAAGCTTGGGACAGTACAGGACCAGAGCCCAACTCTCACATAAAAACACCAAGTCGCAAAAAAAGGCAGAAAAAATGAGCAAAAAACAAACGAAAGAGCTTGATTATAGAAAGTTACTATGGTGATAGGGAGAATCAAGGCATAAACTTAGAAGAGGTCAATGTCAAAATGGCTACATGTGAAACATCAAAGAAAAATGTAATTTGGTCTCAGGCTCAAAAAGAATTCCTGGAAGGGCTTAAAAAGGATTTTAAAAAGTAAATTAGAGAAGTAGGAAAAAAAATGGGAAAAGAAATGAGGGTAATGCAAGAGAATAATGAAAAAAAGAATCAATAGCATGGGAAAAGATATACAAAAATTTACTGAGGAAAATAACTTCCTAAAAAATAGAATTGGCCAAATGGAAAAGGAAGTTGAAAAGCTCACTGAAAAAACTAATTCCTTAAAAATTAGAATTGAATAAGTGGAAAGTAATAACTGTATGATACATGAAGATATGATAAAATAACATCTAAAAAGTAAAAGAAATAGAAGAAAATGTGAAATTTCTCATTGGAAAAACAACTGACCTAGAAAATAGATTTAGGAGAGATACTGTAAGAATTATTGGACTACCTGAATGCCACATTTGAAGCAGAGAGATACACACAGGGTAAAGATAATGGGCTGGAGCAGAATCTATTATGCTTCAGTTGAAGCAAAGGAAGCAGGGGTAGCAATCATGATCTCAGACAAAGCAAAAGC